TACACCTTTTTCTATTATTCTTTTTTTTTCTTTCTAATAGCACATATAAAATGTATTAATGCAAACAGCAAAACATTTCTTACAGTATCTAAGCTCTGCTCTTTGGAGCTGACCTACGCTCCTTGCTTCAGCTGTCATTTTTCTTAGAAATCAAGGGCAGTTTTGCTTTATTTTGCATTTTTTTCCTGAGCCAGTGCGCCACTGACCACATTTCTCTATGCCATTTCAAACGAGAGCAGCTTTGGTGTCAAAGGCCATTTTAGCTTCACTTACCTTCAGAGATGTTCCTGTTTCTGAAATGAATGGTTTAACAAGGAAATGTGCTGACAACAAAGAGAGGAATGGGTACATCCGACAAAATACACACACAAGACCAAAACAATACAAAAGCAAGGAGACTGGGAAAAAAAAATCAAAATCAAAACCACTATGTATGCTTTGAGTAGAACTGACAAGGATCTCTCAAAGTGAATTTGATTGCTTATGGAAAAAAAGCCTCTGGAAAATGGAAAGATGCATTGAAATGAAAGGAAAGGGAGGGGATCTTTTTTTTGCGCCCAGTTCCAAAAAAAACGAAGTGTGTGTGCGTGGGGAGAAAAAAAAAAAGGCAGAAGAAAAAAAGAAAGAAATGGGCCAAAATAAGCCACAGAAAATGGAATTCTCACTAGAAAAATTAGAGAGAAACTCCAGCACACCTTGTGCGTTGTACATGCTGACAGAAGGGTTGTTATAGACCGCCGATTCCCCGAGCAATGTATTATAAGGGTTGTTAGTGCCATGAGGACGAAGCAGAGCATTGGTTATAAGATGATTAGCCATGGCTCCTGGAGCAGCCCGATAGAAAGACAGAGAAAAAAAAACAACAAAAAAGGTCAATCAGGCAAATGTGGTATTAAAAAAAAGGGAAAAAGAACATTCAGAATGACAACAGTTGAAATAGTCCTGATTACAAGCAGCCAGCTAATTAGACTTGGAAAACTGTATGCCACTAAAGCAGAACAGATGTTACTGACGATGCACAAATCCAAACCAATGCAAAAGAAAATGTATCAGAAAGCAGATAAGCTACATTTACAGTGGTTCCCCAGTCGCTCGGAGTGTAAGCAAGGCTATGCCCACATGCTTGGTACAAAGAAAGAAAGGAAAATGGCAGCCTACACAATGTGGGGGGAAAAAACTCTCTGGAAAGTGCCAAATGAATAATAAAAAAAAATATATAATGACTAACGGAAAACAGCACATTCAACTCCCACTATGGGCTAGAATCTCTTTTACCAGTCCTTCGCAACACATCTAAAATTGAAAAAGCAGAATTACAAACAAAGGATGGAGACTGCAGCCTCTCCAAAGGCTCTCATCACTTACTAGAGAGCAGCTGTTTCTCATGTCTAAGAGGATGAATTTCACTTCAGCTACTGCTCTGGTACCACTGTCAAGCACATCCACAACCACCCAAATCCACGCTTAAAGGCAAGAGCACTGTGGCTGCATCAGGCGTTTCTATCAGGAGCGAGAGCGGCTATGGAATCGCACATTTCAAGGCTCTCTGTTTGCCCCACAAACATCTTGTTTCCCCACTCCCGGACCTCTTTGCTGTTGTTTCCAAACACTGAGCCATCAGTTGTCCTCCCGCTCTGGTTTATCCCTGTGAGTTGCAGCCTCTGGATTTGTACTTTTCAGGATCATCACAGCTTGGCAGGTGGCTGCCAAGACCTACCTTGATTCCTATCGCAGGCATCAACCCATGAAGCAAAGCCTTCCCCACACCTGTTAGCTGACCTACAAGGACCAAAAAACCTCTTAAGTCCTTGCTTCCAATCTCCTCTGGGATCCAAAGAGACGACTGACTCAAAAACTTTCCCCCAGAGCCATTCCCACCACCATCAGTAGAGACCTAGAGCAGAAATACTCAAGGACACACCACGTTTTTTACCTCCACGGCTAAACTGTTAAGACAAAACCTTTCCACCAGGAAAGCAAGTCTTTGGTGGGACAACTAGAGCTAGCCAGGACAGGGCTGTCAGAAGGCTCAGGTTACCAACAACTGTTGGCCGTCACCAACAACTGATAGCTCCAACCCAAACAAGCGACCGAAAAGCCAATCCTCAAACCCAGCAACCCTGACAGGGACACCTTCATCAATGGCTGGGGCTTGGAGACCCCTTTTGCCTTTTTTAGGGGTGGAGGTGGCCCTGTGGCATGGCAGAGGCAGTCTTTACGAGGCATGTGGGGTACTGGCTACAATCTCTTCTCTGCAACTCATAACCTGATTTTTCTTTCCTTTTCTTTCCTTTTTTTTTTTTTTTTTGGGATGAAGTTGCTGAGGATATATAAGCCCCAAGCACCTCTGGCTGGTACAAATCCCCTTAGTGGTGAGCTCTCTAAAAGCTCACACCTACTAATTATTTAATAAAAAGCAAAAACTGGCCAAACCTAAGGCTAGGTGGAGGCCTCCAGAGCTGCCTCCTGCTGCAGTGGTCATATGCTGGCCTGGCTCCATTGCCCGGGATGGCATTTCTCCATGTCTGCACTGGTAGAGGAGAGAGCAGACCACTCTCCTGCCTCTCCCTCATCCTCCCCCAGCCCTTCCCAGCCCCAGGTGTATGGCATTAGTGGATCACTTAATCGGTCTTTTGAGCACAGGACAAAGTAGGAGGCAGCGCTGTATGGGGGCTGCATGCCAGGGAGGCTCCTCGACACATGCAGCTGGAAAAAAAAGACTTGTTTTCTCTCACCTGATATTTTTGGCTATGCTGATGGAAAGCAAGATGAGCTGCTGTGTTTGGAAATAAGGAAACAAAGCTGTCTCCTGTAAGAAAACATTATATGAACGCTTAACTAAGCAACCTTGAATGTAACTCATAGGTAAATGAGTCAATTCTTTCTTTCTCGTAATGTATTTTCTATCAATCTCACATACATCTGGGATGAGGGACTTTAGAAACCACTCCTCTTCTTGCACTAGTTTTATACCAGCATGAGTACTAAGTCCATTAAAATTGTTTCTGCTTTCATCCCACTTTTAATCAAGCTGGGCAATAAAAGATACAAAAAGGGACACACTTTTATGCAAGTAACAGGACTGTCCAGAGTTAATGCCAGCCATAAATTCAGAAGTGATATAACCCTCCCATTTGAGATTTAACCCAATCTCCAACTTGGTCCCTATGAGATTTGATACGGAGAAGAACATACCCACCATGTGGTTTTGAACACTTTACCTTGAGGCATCTTTAAATCCTAACTGCCAGAAAGAGCATCTCACTCAATATATTGCCCGTCTGATTGTGTCTAGCAATCCCTAGCAGGCGGGAACAAGCTGATCCCACCATGGCTGGGAGGTCGAGCTGTTTCACATGGGGCATGCTCTCACAGTGTGACAAGGGAGGAGAAGGGACCAATCTGTGTCAGCACTTAGCGCTTTGCCCACCTACATTCGCTAGGGCAGTGGCCTCTGAAGTGAGTTAAATTCACATAAACCTGGATCTTCCGAGCTGTTACAAACTTCTTTTCTGGCAACTTTTAATGCAGATACATGATTGTGACTATAAACTTGGCAAAAAGTTGAAAATACAGAACAAGTCATTTTTGATCTCTCAAGTGCGCAAAAGAGGGGGCTTGGTACAACGAAACAGCCACCCATTCCTGTATGCAGCTACTAAGCAAAAATACTGCATCTTCTACCTTCCTCTCCCTTGATTGCTAAGGGCATTAAGATTTTTTAATTTACTGATCAAAATGCCAATTCGATGGCAGTCCTGAGTAATTCTCCTGATGCAAATACAAAACAAACGCACTGCTAACATGTTCAGCTACCTTTCAATACTTTCAGAAACCCGACTGGGCCCTAAGCACTCTGCAGCAGGTTCCTGTCACAGTGGGCTGGCCACAACAAACTTCACACTCTCTGCGGGTCACAGTAAATGTAACCTTTGGCATCTTAAAAACCAAAATGATACGTAGGTTGTAGTCATTTATTTGGGCTCTTGTTTCTCCCTAACTGCTTTACAGCTGCAACATTCCCAGCCTCAAAGGATGCTGAGAGAGGACTGCACTGAGGCAGTGTTAAAGAGCCTATAGTTAAAGCTTTAGATAAAACAATAATACACCAAACAAATCCCCATTATTGGGTTTCTCCTTCCCGGGAGGGAGAAAGAAAAAGGTAACACCAGCCATACATTTAAGCATCATCCTGCCTTTTTCATAACACTTTATCATTGCTATAGCAACCAACCAGGCTATTAGGAAAAGCGATTAGGTCTGCAGACAAGGCACTAGCAGGAGGAACAGGGACACTACCAAACTATGAACCCGTTTGCATGAAAATAGCCTTGGTAATAAACAGACAACAAAAACCCAGTAAAGCAAGCATGGGATCAAAGTGGCATGCTCTCCCAAAATACCAGGAGAGAAAGCAAAGAGGCTTATTCTGCAGCCCCGTGTATGGGTGCGCAGCAAAGGCCGGATGCCGGGGCTGCGATTGCAAAGGTCAGTGCGTGTCCGAGGACCTGAAAAGCAGAAAGAGCAGGGCTGTGGGTGCCCATCAACCGTCCTGAATCTCATCCCCAGCAGAACGCTCCTGGGACATGACCCTCGGCAGCTGTCTGGCTTGGTGTTGGCGATGTGCCCAAAATCCTCAGCAAGCAGCAGTTGTTCATTGTTATTTATTCACTTAACGGCTGGATCCTTGGCTCTCAGCATCTGTGGTGTGACACTTACTTCTCTCAGCAAATCCCGTAGTCCTGTGTCGTCCTTGCTTCCCTACATTTCAGCAATAATATTCCCTATACAAATCCCTCCTTTGCCGTCTCCCGAAGCACCTGAGCCCAGCACACAGCCACCACTCTTCATTTGTTTAGTTAGTTTAGTTGTTTTATTTGTTTCAACTCAGCTGCATTGAAGCACCTTTGGTTCTGCTAGTTGAAGACACCCTACTGAAAACAAGTGTACTCTGTTTCCAAACACCTATCGTGCTGTCTACATGTGGGAATGTGAATTTGGGGTTGGGAAAAAGATGGTGCTTCAAACCCATAGGCTCACCTGGGCATCTCCTTGTTCAGTGCAATGAGATCATCACAACCAGCAAACAGAATTTAACAGCAGAATTCACACCTCTACAAAAATATTCCCTACATCCACACTGGTATAACTACAGCCCCTAGTCTCCTCGTTTCCACTGATATTCAACCAAAGATTAAAGTTCAGTGCAAAATACAGCTACCAGGTCAACTCTGATATCCAAAATGACATTAAAATTCAGGTTTCTGGCAATGCCAGTGCTCAGTTCAAGGTTTCTTGATGCCAGATGTCCTCAGGTGAAGGATTTACACACTGTGATCATGAGGAGAAAAAAAAAGATGCTCTTACAGAAGGCAAGTATTAGCTGGGTAAAACAGAGATACTCCTGCTCCTCTCCCAGCATCCAGGAATCTCATGATCCAAGTACCGAAGATTCAGCCTTTCTTATCAGGTTTAAAAGGCTATGAGAAGGCATGGCCTGTGCTCAGGGTGCAGAGGGGCATCTGGAGGGCTGCACTTTTGACTTGCAAACTGAGAAAATCTGATAGGGAAACCAACCAGGATGAAGAAAACGAAAATCCCACAATTTTTACCATCATTGTAAGTACACACAGAGCATTCAGATAGCTAGTTAGCTGCTTTGTGCACCTGTGAAAGTAGGTATTATTTTAATGACAGTATGCAACCAAATGGTACCTTTTTCTTCCGTTTCTAAGATAGAAATTTATGTCCTTGATGCAGGACAGCACTGAACGCAGAAATAATTTTTTTGGAAGAGCTTGGTGTTATGACTGTAAGGGAAAAC